TCCCGCAGGGAGACCTTGAGAACCTTGAGCTAGGCTAACCGATCGATCCTGGAAAGAATGATGCCCGGGATATTCATCCGTTTCCTTCTCTCGTCAACGGAAGCCGGCTGTTGCAAGCGCGTTACGTGGTCTTCCGAATAATTACTCCACATCCTCGACGTCTGTTCCGTGTCCCCCCTCCCCCTCCCCCTTCTCTCTCTCTCTCTCTCTCTCTCTCTCTCTCTCTCTCTCTCTCTCTCTCTTTCTCTCTCTCCTTTTCCCGCTATCGAATCGACAAGCGAAGCGAACTTCATTAATATCCAACATCCCGCGTAAAATCCTATCATCGCATTTATCGTTTCATCCCTCTCTCTCTTCGCGTCCGATATGAAACTTTCGCGATTAATTCCGGTAATCCTTTTCGGATAGTCACGCAATTTATATGCGAATTGTGTATCTAACTTGGGGATATTTAAAATGCCCTTTGCAGCGAGGTAAGTCCTCTCCGCGTCCTCTTTGCATCTTCATCCTCAATATCTCGTTTCTTTTCCGCTACCTTCATCATCCGCTCTCTCATCAGTCTCTCTCTCTCTCTCTCTCTCTCTCTCTCTTTCTCTCTCCCCCTCGCTCCTTCCCTCCCTCCTTCTCTTTTCCTCTCCCTATCTCTACCTCTGTGGTGTGTGTCAACGTATCGCGTGGTTGGAGATGGCAGGCGAAAGAGAAAAAGTCTTTCGCAATTTCTCATGAATATTTCGCAGTAGCGTCGAGAACGTGTCGCCTCGCGGGTCAAGAGGGAACATTCGCTACCCGCTTAATTTCCTTAATGGATCGACCGGTACTTGTTCTGCGGAAGATTACGAAATAGAGGGGATACGGAGTGAGAGACCGCTGCACTTTTCTTCCCGCTTGTTCCAGCAGCTACCGCGACTTGTCTCACCGCTTTTATTCCCCGTGTTCGTTTTCTTGCGCTGACGCGGCGTGCCGCGTCGAGTTATCGTTTTTCCCGCGTTCCCGCGCCGGCGGGAGAAACTTCTCGACTTGAATCATATCTTCTTCTTGGCATGTCGGTATCGTTGCGCCGACTAGCGTTTCGTTCACCCGTGGCTAGTTCTTGCTAGCCTTAACGGAGATACCGGTAAGGGCTCGCAAAAACGGTTTCAACGGTAGATCCCCGCGCGAGTCACGTCGGTTCCACGGTTTGTTAGAGCGCGGAGGCAAGAGCGGGGAGTGAGTTCGTTTCTCGGAGACGTGATAAGTGAGAAGTGTAAAGTGGAGATTCGTCCCCTTTTTCGGCCGAGATCTCTATATCGGGCACAAAAGCGACGCGGTCCTTTTTCTACGTATCTCTCTCCTTCTTTACTTTGTGTGCCAAACTATCCGAAAATACATTTCCAAAGACTTCATCTTTACGCGCGCCAACACTTCTTTCAAAGGGAGATATTAATTGAGAAAAGAAATATTTACGCGTTAATCTATTTATCGACCGATACGCGTGCAAAGGAATCGTCGGGAGTGCGGAGTATATCAGTCCGGAGTATCGGGCAGAGAGAGAGAGAGAGAGAGAGAGAGAGAGAGAGAGAGAGAGAGAGAGAGAGAGAGAGAGAGAGAGAGAGAGTGAGCAAGCGCGTTAAAAACGCGACACAAAGACCGGCGATGCCTTCTGTCGCTAACGGAGCCCTGCGGCGTTTTATAGGACAATACTAGACGGGCGCAATACAAAGAGCCCGCAAATTGGCTTCGATGGTTCGTAGACAGGCCGCCATTCGAGCAAATCAGCGCCGCGAGGTTACGGTCGTCAAATCAATATTTGCACCTCGCCACCCTCGCGCACACACAGAGGCAGACAGAGAGAGAGAGAGAGAAAAGGGGGGAGAGATACAGAAGGAGTGAGAGAGGAAGAGAACCGGTGTGCAAAGTCAGGCGTGTCGGAATTAGCGAAGAAGGAAGGAAGGAAGGAAGGAGGCAGAGGGTAAAGAGGGTTGGACTCGGCGGTGAAGGACGACGGCGTGGCGGAGAGAGGACGCCGAGGGAGCGCTCTCGCGCGCGAGGGGTTGGGACGACGGCGGGATTACGTGGTTGGTGGCGTTGGAAATCGGTGGTAAACTGAATTAACCTTGTTGACCCGCGACCGTATGTTACCAATGACTTTCTGTTACGTTGGCCGGGGGAGAGTCGCGCGCGGATAGAGTCCATTATAATGAAACGCCGCGCGGAAGAACGGAGCAGGAGTGATCGAGGAAGTGTCCCGTCTGGCGGGAGATGCGCTCGCTCGTGCAAACGTGTACTTTCCACCTCGTAACCCCCTTCTTCCTCCGTACCCTCCACGGCCCTCTTCAACCTCGATCGTTCGTAAGCTATTGGCTTCCGCCGAGCAGAAAGATTTGTTGACTTCGTCTACTTGGACGTAGATAGGTAGGTAGGTAGGTAGGTAGGTAGGTAGGTAGGTATGCAGGCAGGTAGGCAGGTAGGCAGGCAGGCAGGCAGGTTGGCAGGTTGGGGATGTAGGTATTTGCCGAAACAAGAACGTCCGGCAGCTCTATGCCGGTATATCGAACCTCCTGCTCTCGCGTATTAATGCGGCGGAAGTTAGTTTCCGATTCGTAGCAGCTAAACTCGAGCACGCCAACCTTGCAGCAATTTTTGGTATGTAATGCAGTCTGTAGCACATCGATCAAGCCGACGATTACGTTTTCGCGTTTCGGCTTTTCCGTGTCGACAAGCGACAGCACGATCAGACGCACGGACGATAAGTTGCTCGGCTTGAATGCCTTTCGGGTTCGCATCGCGGCGGTCTAGCGCCACCGACGTTGCATTACGGGGGGATGTAACAGCGGAGGTGTCGAGTTTCCCCTTCGCGCGCACAGAGGAGACTTCGTTAGAAACGCGAATAGCTAGTACTCTTGTTCGGCGAGGAATAATTTGTTTGTCGGCTTTCCTCGACGAGCGTGTCTTAATCCGACGGGAATTTGCGCGAGGTGAGTTCGATCGATCCAGGTCACAAGTTCGATTTAATTTAGGGGCTAACGCGGACAGCGTCGTCTGAGCGGTCCTCGACGCTGCGAAGCAGTGCGCGACGGTGGATTGCTATAAAGATTAGCCGGGAAATCATCGCTCGGAGTCGCGATATCATCGCGTGTAAAAGTTTCCTCGCGCTCGACGCAGAATGACGCGAGAGATCGGCCTTGTGCCTCTTCTTCACGAGCTAACGTTTTCTCAGGATCGCGCGACGATCGCGTGTCGCGGCTTTGCGAAAATAAATGTCTGTCGGTAAACACGCGCGGTACACACACACATCGCAAGCGCGCGAGCTCGCCCGATTCGACTCGAAGGAAAGAGCCGCTCGCGCGACTCCACTTCAACGAGGAGGGTCGAGCGCCCGACGATGCGCGCTGTTTGTTATTTCCCTACGGAATCGCTCGCGGGCTCGGAGTCGCAGAAAGCCAGCCGAAACTGTCACGTCGCGCACGCCGAAGCGGAGTGTAGGTGTTCGTTGATTGAGAGTAATCTGTTTTGTTAATTGCAAGGTCCGCAGAGTCCGATACCTGCGGTTGCGTTGTGCTGCGTTCAGCATTACGAGCTCTCTCTCTCTCTCTCTCTCTCTCTCTCCCTCCCTCTCTCATTGTCGCTGACGCTCCTAGTCGCTCCTCCATTCGCCCGGTAGATCACCCTCCGACTCACCCTCAGCGTCGTCCCTACGTACCAGCGGCTCACACAACATCACCGACCGCAGCGTGAGCCTGAGTCGCGGAGAACAGCGAGGATACTACGGGGGCGGTTAACCGACTAATTGCAATACTGACGCGCCCGTTCGCAGTATTTGTGAAATTGCGATCATATCCGTCGTCCTTGCGACGCCTATCGGTGGTATAATAGGCGCTATCCGTGTACACCGCAACCGCGCTCGCGCGTTCGAGCGTGCGCGCTAATGGACCGTCAAAAGCGGGATTCAGCGTTCTTTTCCGGCCGCGAGTCGCGTCATTTTTCAGCCGACGTGTCCGACCCGCTCGATTTACAACGGGAGCCGGCGGAAAAACGTGAAACAAAAATAGAGAGGGAAGAAAAAAAATGCAGCGCGGCTGTTATATTGTTGCAGCAACGAGCGGCGATCGGCTCGTAAATGCAGGAAGTCGAGCAAGGAAACGAGTTTCGGTCGCGCCGGCTGACAAATACAGCGCGATCACGCACCCTTTTTTTCCTTTTTCCGCGGTTCCCTTCGGTTAGCGCGGGAGAGGATCTGCTTGGTGTCGCTGCTGAACGCGCTGAACGGCAACAATCTGTCTCGTAAGGCGCGAAGCCGCGCCTTACGAGAACGAGACAATCGACGAACTCTCTCTCTCTCTCTCTCTCGCCCTCCCGCTCGCGTTCTCCCCTGAGAGCGGAGGGTAACGTCACGGCGCGCGCGATCGATCGATCGTACCTGGCGCGTCGCGCTCGCGTTACTTTGCTCTCGGGTATAACGAAGAACACGTCGCGAGGAATTTCGCGTAACAGCACAGCGCGAATTTCAACATCGCTCTCGTCGTCCTTTAGAAGTTATCCAAGTTGCACGCTCATGATATTCGATTGCGGCTGCTCTCGGCTGACGTTTTGCCACAAGAACGCTCCCTTTCTCTATTTACGGATAACGCGAGAATAATCATCATCGCTAACGAGAAAAGTTCCCGGTGGTTTTCCTCAAGCTCGCGTTACAGGCGATGTCCTTTGTGACATAGTGTATAGCTACGCTCGCGCAAGGTTATCAACTACTCCATACATTCCTCCACGCTCGTTTCCGCCGGAAGGCTCATTCTCGCCTGAGAAAGACTAAATTTTTTGCCTCCTGTTGGTAGAAAAACAACGCTGCCGATACGAATATTATAGAGTGGCGATAACACGACTCCCCCCCTCCCCTTCCCGCTCGTCTGTTTATCCGCCAGCGAATGGAAACGAGAAACAGAGCGCGGAGCGTTTAAAACGTTCTTGTCCCCTCGGGGGTCGCTCCGGCGACGTAAAAATATCTGTAGGCGGTCGAATGTACTCACCGGTCGTGTACATAGCGACACCCTTCAGGGTCACCGGCTCGAGAATGGCAGGCTCGCTCCTCCCTTTCGCATTAATCGCATAGAGAAAAAGTCGATAGCTTCTGCCTGTGGTTAGACCCGCGACCTCGAAAGTCGGCCCGTTGGGACCCGCCGCTACGGTTTTATTTAACAGAATCGGACCCCCGTCCTCGTCGGCCACGACGTCGAGCTGATAACTGTATATCGGAAGACCTCCGTCGTAGCCCTCCAGGCATCGCACCACCAGCCCCGTCCCCGACTTCGTGCCGAGCTCCTCCATGTCCAAGGGCGCCGACATCTCCGTGGCGCTACAATTGTGAAGAGCGTACGGACGACCCGCGGCTATGACCTGTGCGAAACAAGCAACCCGTGGATAAAGTGTATTTGCGTTAGGCGAACAATACGTCCTTTATTGCATTACAAACGAGACGGAACAGTCAGTCCCGCGACGTCCGGCCGGAAAACGTCCGCGTACCGCTCCGTCCGGAAATTTCTCGGCGCGCTTAACACGCATCGCTTCACTGCGCACTTTAATTTCAGCGATACAATTTAACCGTTGCGCCGTTACAAACGTGCGTTCCTTTCTTTCCGTTTTTCTTTTTTCTCTCTCTCTCTCTCTCTCTCTCTCTCTCTCGCCCCCGCCTTCACCGTCCAGCAGTCTCCGCGATGGACGGGAAGCGAGCGAGCGAGCGAGCGAGCGAGCGAGCGATCTTCCGCGTAGCGCCGGTAAACGACTTTACGCGGAAGACTTTCATATGCACGTCAAATACGAACGCGTTATCGCACGGTTCGTACCGTCAAAGAAGCCCTCTCGTTTCTCCCCCTTCTCCTCCCTCTTTCTCCCGCATTCCTCGTAGATACCGTCGATCGATCAAAATGAAAATGTATGGAGCACGTGATGCCGTAGCGTACAATGTATGAAATTTATGAAGGAAATAGCCGGCAACATGACGTACGTCGTGTAAATACCGGAATATTTGAAGTATGCAGTATGGATGGTCTAACCACTTTCAGATCAGACAGATCGATACGGCCGAGCATCGCGCTGGACGTAATGATCGACGGAACACCGTATCGTCAACCCTATCAATCGGGAGTATCTTTCGATCTGGGATTAAAGTGGATTCCGGTATCGCGGTGAACGGTAAACCCACACTCTCCCTCTCTTTCTCGGTGTTCATTTTCATGATCATGTAGAATTGTCAACGAATTTCTTCTCACAGTCTCGCGGTTCAACGACACTCGCGTGACCCTTGCATACGAAATGCATACGGATCGACGAGCGGAAAGCGCTCAAACGCGCGGAGCGCGTCGGAATTTAATTATAGAAACGGAATATATCAGTAATTTTACGAAGCACGTTATCTCATACTTTGTATAATGATGAAGAAACAAATGTATCGCATGGACGAAACACAATCCGTCAGCATCGAGGGTCTGCCGCGAGAATCGAAAGAAAGCAGATACATTTGTTCATCCGGATTCAAAAGTATCCCCTGAATCGAAACTTTCAGAAACCTGCTCATTTCCCAGTACGACGCATCTCTCGCGTTCTCAACACGTTTAATCTTATTAAAACTCCCGGCATACCTTCATTCGAAGATAACTCAAGGACCCGTCCGTTCGCTCTCTCGCTGAAGCTTACTTCGCGAGAAGCTCTTCATTCTCATTCCTGATTTCTCATTCCGTTAATTGCAAAGAAAGGGATTGACCATCTTTTACAGAAGACCGACTCGAGTCTAATCGAAGAGAAAAAGGGAGAAGAGGCAAGAGGAGATCATTATCGTCATTATCATCATATCGCACAATGGAAGAGAAACACCGTAACCGTGCGGCTGGGTGTGCGTGCGTCTCGGTAAAAGCGATCGTGTCTATTCACGCGTCTATTCGGCGGGAGCGTACGTTAAGCTAAAAGCACGAAATTCTGAATCACACGTCGGAAAGCCACGCGGAAGCGTACGCGGCGCGGTGCGCGAAGAAGTGAAAAGGCACAGGCGGAAAAGAGAGTACTTGCCTGAAAGAGGCAGGGTGTTCGTTGCTTGCCAACCTGGTTGCTCGCCCAGCATGCCACCGTACCGTAATCCATTTCCGTAGCCGGCGTATAGTCCAGCCTGGATCCGTGAAACTGTTGGTACTCTTTCAGACTGTCCGCGACGGACGGTGTGCCGGGCGCCGATGCGTGGGAATAACGCGAGTGCGGTACCTCGACCAGCTCGCCGGAATTATTGAATGTCCAATGGAAGGTCAATGGAGCCGGATGGCTCTCCACGGAGCACACTAACGACACGGTTTCCTGTTTCAAAGCGCCGACCACCACTTCGCTCCTGCCCTCCTTGCACACCGGCGTATCTGTAAACAAAGTCGTCGTACTTCGCCTAACGCGGGTGGCCTTTCCGCTAACAACGATGGAGTGGCGCAAAGTTTGAAGTGCAGGGTGATTTATTACTCGCTTGTCAAGATTAATGTGTAACAAAGTGTACCGTAGTTTACCTTCTTCCACCGCCCCGAGAAATTTCATTGTCCGACGATAATAAGCGCAAAAACTGCAGCAGCTGATTAATTTACGTCTTCGGCCACGTCGCGCCGCCGTGCATACGGCCCGTAAATCAATCGACCTTCCGTTCTCGTCGTGAAATAATACTAACGGCGATTTAAATGGATATATTCGACGTTCGGGTTCGTTGCACGATATGATCCCTGTGTGTGTGTGTATATGTGTGTGCTCGTGCGCTTGCTCGATATCCCAACGAGATCCGCGGGTGTCAAACGGAAGAAGAAGCAGCTCGACACCGTTCAGCCCGCTGCACGGCCGATCGATAGTCTAATAGGAAATTCCCTTGACATCGGTATTTGCGATAGGCCATGACATGCGGAAATCCCACACGGCGGGAGTGATGATTTACGAGCTGAAGCTGGGAATCACGGATAGAGTGAAAGAGGGAGAGAAAGGGAGCGACAGGGGGAGTGAGGGAGGGAGGGAGAGTGAAGAGAGAAGGGAACAGAGAGAGAGAGAGAGAGAGAGACTGTCTGTTTGCAATTTGATACAGTCTATGTCTATATCTACTAAAGTAATTGCTAGGATGAGAAGTCGGGGATCTCTCGGCGATGTTACGATATATCGACATATCAACAAGACGGCGCGTCTGTTTACCAAAGGAGTATATTTTGCACACAGCGGCGTCTTGGCGGCGCTCATTATCGAAAGTTGTGGAAGTTGGATCGTGGCTTCTTTGTCTAATAATCTTAATACAACACACCTCGAGGCGACAATAGCTTCGTGGAACTCCAGAAAATATTTTTCTCAAGTGCGCTTCGCGATTTCGCGCAAACTATTCAAGATACGGCTCGTGCATTTTGCTCAAACGTCTTTGAGCCCGTCTTTAATCCGACTCTGTGTCATCTCTGTTCCCTTCTTGAAAGTTATATTTCCATGAAAACTCGCTCTCCCGCCTTTCGACAATCCGAACGATTTAGGAAAACGTGACCAAAGACAATATTATGTTTCACGCTGGCATGTGCTTTCGTGAAAGGTACAAGTTGAATAATTCCACAATTTCGCTGGAATAACCAGACAAATTGTTGGGCCGACATTTTTCTCTCTTGTAAAAAATTCAACGACTATTTCCTTCTCCACTCCACCCTCCGACGAAAACAGATTAGGTGTTTCATAATAAATGCTCGGAGAAGCGGAAAGTCAAAACGCGTGTTCTCGTTAGAGTTTTAACAACCGGTAATCATTTTGCATTTATTAACTTTATCGTCCATGTTGACTCCACTAATTTTATTTCACTACTTATTGGAACGGTCGGTAATAAATATTAATTGTCAAATATAACTTCATGCAAATAAATGCATTTCATCCCAAACGAAATGGATTTTCAGACTTGAAAAATTCACATTTGTGATCAAATTATCGCATTCTTAAGCGGTTTAAATTTGTGTAAATTGTGTGAAGCGGATTCGAATAAATCCAATCTTCGATAAATCTAATCATGCAAATTTAGTCGTGTGATTTTCGTTCATTTCTGAATTATCGGGATTTAAATATATCCAGACGCTCACAAGTAACAGTGAACATCGGTAAACTTTTAAATTTGTAAATCAGATGCGCATCGACCGGGGAGGGATTTCCACACTTGTACGATCTCTATCGTGCTCCGTCGAACTTCGGAAATTCAACTGTTCGGACTTGTCGGCGTTATACAGCATAAACGCAATTATTATTTTTCACAAATTTTGTTATTCGACTTTGCGCACCATCCGCGGTCAGATAACATTTTCCGCGCTAAATTGAGATCCCACCTGGTGAATCCGTCTCCATCGCGAGAGAGATGAGAAGATCTGTGGACGCGATGTATATTACTGACGCGAAAATATGACGCGATGTCACCTCGGCGCGAATATACAGATTCGTCAGGCGACTGAAACGTCACGCGTCCAACGCAAATCAAACTACGCCAGGGGATGCAAAAACATTTGAAAAGAACGAAAAAGAGCAAGAAGAAAAGAACGTCAGAAAAAAATAGGAGCGAAACAAAAACGCGTGGGTGAGAAAGAAGGGCTCTCGCATATTCTCGCGACACGGTTCGTCGCTTAACCGTGCACATATGTATAACGCATATAACACACACACACACACACATATATTTAACGTATCGCGACGCGATCGCGAGCCGTTCGAGAATACACTCGTATACGAGAAGAGAGATTCGACGTCATCGACTCAGCGACTCGCAGTTTAAAATGCTACGACAGATCCGCCGCGTGCGCGCACGCTCGGTCTCCTTTAGTTACGCGCGCGGCCCGCCGTACTCGTACGTCTGCTCCGGCCTAGCTTAGCACATTGCCAGCCTGCGTTCACCCACACATGAATATTCAGCTATACGCTTTACATATACTGAATATGCATCGCAGTCCTTCCTTCCCTCTTAGGTCATTTACAAGATGCAGATACCGCCAGCCCAGCTCCGGGGGCACACCGACCATTCTAATAGAATAACCCGCGTTCCGTGTTTCACAGAAAACTATACACCCTGTCTCCTCCTCCTTCCCTCTATCACCTCTCCCCTTTAGCTCTCTTCCTTCATCCAGTGTCTGTCCCTCCTCCCTCGCCCTCCCTCTCCCCCCTCCCCCTCCGCCGTGCGTCGTCGTCTTCATCGCCGCCGATTCACCACGTCTCATTGTCGTCGATTCGGCCGTCGACGACGGTTCTCATGTGTTCGTTTCTCATGTGTTTGACAAGCCCCTTGCCTCCACCGCGCGCACTTCGCCCCTGTGCACACTGCGGAGTTGCTTACCATCGATTAAGTAATTATCGAGGATGGTAGCAGCGAGAGAAGTTACGCTCGCCGGGGGAGAGAAATTGATCCGCCGCGTTACGGAAGATATAAGTTCTATCACTATTATGGCATTGTTTACCCTCCCTCCCTCCCCTCCCCTCCCCCCCCCGCGCCCGCCCGCCGCCGATTTCCGCACGCGTTCACGCGCGCGTGCGCCGGATAATTTGGTTGTTATACGAAGACTCGTTAATTATGCACATACACTGTATGCACCGACTTACACATTATCTGAAGAGATACGGGATTACTGGCGGTCTTTCCCTCGCTGTTCGCCGCGAGACAGGTGTAGTCGCCGGCGGAGTAGCGCGTCAGACCTTGCAGGACCAGCGAGTGATCGCTAAGGACCACGCCGGCGGTGGCGTTGTTCTTCAGTTCCTTGCCCTGGAAAACACAGAGACCTCGGCGTTACCGTGAAGCACGTGAGTCACGTGCTCGGGAATTGCGGGAAGTGTTGCTTTGTTGTGAGCAATTGTGAGCGAGGCGTGTTCGCACGCGCTCCTTCTCGTCTCGTCGGAAGGACGGCAGACGCAACGCGCAACGACGACAAGTGCACATACGCGAAATAGCAACGAACGCGAGTTATCTAACGGCGAACTAATTAAATTTGCATAAAACCGAAGGACGGCGAGTAAATGTAGCGACGCGCGACAGACGGTGTGCAAATATGCCGTGAAACGTCCCTCCGCGCGCGCGCGCGCGCGCGCGCGCGTGCGCGATATCGTGATGGACACGCGAGTGTGTGATACTCACGTCTTTGAACCAAGCGAGCTTGTACACCTTCGGATTCGCCTTGACTCTGCACTCGAAATACACGTCGTCGCCCTCCTTGATATCATCCGGATTCAGAGTCTCGCCCATCCGCAGGTTGACCACCGGCTGGTACTGCACGTCGAGCCGCCACTTATCCTCGAGCGTGCTGTCAGGTATGGCGGGGTTTTCCACGCGGCACGTCAAATATTTACCGTCATCGTCTATAGTTGGCACGAAGCTCAGGATACTCAGGCTCTGGTTGTTCTCGTTGTTCTCGCGCGCATACTGCAATTAAACACGGCGCGCCTCGCGTTAAATTAATGAGACTCCGCGGCGCAGCGTTCCGATGTCCGATCGACTGATCGTGCAACATTGATATCGTCCGAGCATCCTCTCGCAATCGAGCCGCAATCGCCGTGACTCGAGATTCCCCGCGAGGTTCCCCGCCCGAAAGCGTTCCCAACGAAAGTTCCATTTTTCACGCGCGCCTCGCGCGCTCGCGCTGCTAATATTAATTTAACATCGTTGGGGGGGGGGGCCGTTAGGCCGCGGCGATGCCAAAATAAAAGGAGGCGGGAATTAACGGTGTACCTTCCTTTCCTTTTTCTTTCAAAATTTATGATGCTTAGAGCAACGACGGAAAATGAAGGTCGGAGCGACTGCGGGTCGCATTGCCAGCCGACCGACCGACGCTTCCTCTCTCCATCACGGCCCCCGTCCCTCCCGCTTTCACGATGTCATTTTAATGATAGCACTATCGGGCATATATATCGGAAAAGCCGCGTATCCGCATCAGTATCGCGAATACGATGAATGGAAGTAATGGTTCGTCAGGATGAATGTGGCATTGCTGCCTCTCACTCTCTCTCTCGCTCTCTCTCTCTCTCTCTCTCTCTCTCTCTCTCTCTCTCTCTCTCTCTCTCTCTCTCTCTTTTATATACCTCTTTCCCCGCTCACATTCGCTCTTTCTCTCTCCCTCTCCCTCTCTGTGGCGACTTTTTTTGTAAGCTTTGCCGCGTTGCACTTTCGGTGCGCCTCGGTGCGACGCGCGCGATCGAATTTTCCGATAAAGCCCTCCGGACAGTCCGACACACGAGTATCGATATATCGCGCGGATGAATCGTACGCGGATTGACGGTTACGCTCGTACCGTTCGCATACGCCAAATGTTACCGGCGTGCTATATACGAGGCTCCGCTTTCTAAGAGAACGTCGCGAATGCGACGGAAAAACGTTTTAATCAATCTACCTCGTGGCGTCTCGAAACTCGAATATCGCGTAAATTCCCTTCGTCCCGGTCGTTGCCTCGCGCCCGCTTTCGGGCGAGGCGAACATGCGAAGTTCCGAAACACGTAAACGCGTGTACAGTGGGAAACGCAACGAAATTTGCGAATGACAGATGCGTGCGATTTCTCAGCGTCGCGACAAGATCGCGGGATTCAAAGTGAAAAAAGCGAGAGAGAGAGAGAGAGAGAGAGAGAGAGAGAGAGAGAGAGAGAGGGGAGAGAGAATTATATTTTTTATTCGCTTTGCGTCACGTCGCGCGGTGACAATGTTCTCTCGTGGAATTTGTGTTCGCTCGGCGTTTTCAATATGGAATATATTAAAAACTCCGCGACGAACAAACGTATTTATCCAAGTAATAGCATGAAAAAAAACTCGTGATATAACGTTTTGTGGAGTAATTTCGATGCTGTCGTTGTGTATACGCGACACCAGGCCGCGGCGCGCGAGTACTTGAAACATTTTCGCTCATGGATGATCACGGAATAATGGCGTAGTAAAAATGTATGGAATAAGCGTAAAACGGTAATGCCGTTCTGTCACCGTAAAATCCTGATACGTTAAAACGCGGAGTACTCTCACAAGTGAGGCTCGGCTGATGCGCTTTTACACGCGCGAAATTAGCGATTTATGCGACATAAAAGTCGCACGATTCGCATTGTCACGGACTCAGCGCGGTATTACGCGCGATCGATGCTCTCGCGCGACGCGTACACGAATATTGTCGCGAAAGGGTGTACACACCGGCGCGCCGGCTTTGAGCAGCAGACGGCGCTCGCGAAAACCTTGCTTCTCAGAGTAAACGACAGTTACACATCCAGGGAGAGACGTTTTAAAAATTTAACGTTCCCGAGCATTACTGAAACATCCCGGTGCCACGGGCACTGGTCGGACGCATCTACGTCGAAAATAGGAAAAGAAAGTTAAGCCTTGAAAGTTTATCAAGCGGGGGATCCAGTGGATCGTTCGCCAACTTCCGTGCACTCTCTCTCTCTCTCTCTCTCTCTCTCTCTCTCTCTCTCTCTCTCTCTCTCTCTCTCTCTCTCTCTCTCTCGCTCTCGCTCTCTCTCTCTTTCTCTCTTGCTCTGTCACCGCGGCAGAAAGGTGTCGGGGATCGAGGCGTTGGGGGATGATGGACGAAAAAGGAGGGAGGACGCGCGCGAGAAGTCGACCACAAGAAAAACGAAATAACTGCATCGTCCTAACTTCTCCACGAATCGTCGTAAACTGCGAGAAGTTGCGGGACGTCGATTTCAGGAATTTTCCTTTGAATTGTGCAACTTACTTTGCCGATGTTTCCACCTAACCGTTTTCGAGACTCGCGACGACACGAATGTTCACATCCGACCGATGAGGCGTCCTGCTAAAAACACACTCGACGTAACTTTCCCGTAACTAGGATTTTTCGAAGGATAACTCGTGAGTCAACTATGTGCTCTCTTTCTCTCCCTCTCTCTCTCTCTCTCTCTCTCTCTCTCTCTCTCTCTCTCTCTCTCTCTCTCTCTCTCTCTGTGTGTGTGACGGTTTTGTCGAATTTCCCAGGGAGAGATCGAACGGAAGCCGAAACTCGCTTGCGAAAACACACGCGGGCTATACATACACACAAGCATCCACTTGACATACCGTCGTAATCGACGAAAGGCACATTCTCATGTTACAGTGGAGCGAACTTCTTTAACATTCGAGATTATTATAATTTCTTTAACAATCGAGCTCGAGCGGCGGCGTTTCGTTACGGTGCGAAGCGACAAAGATGCATGCGTATCGAGAGAGCCCGATACTCGAATTTACTCACCCTCAATTTTCCTCGCGTCATTTTATAACGAGGGCATTATAAATTTGCCTTCGTCGCCGGAAAGTTAGAAGACCGAGTGTCGACGTTTAACATCTTCAAATAAAGAGAGCCCGAGAGAAACTTTTTATTAAGAAGGTAAAAGTGTTTGCTCCTCGCCGCATTTAAATGACATGGCTTTCTTCTTCGGTGGGACTCCATTTCCGTTTTACCGTACAATTTCATCACACAGGCAATTTACATGCGACATATATACGTACGTACGTATGTGTATAGAGAACTTACGGTCTGAACCATCTTCTTGTTGATCGGCTTGTTTGCTTTCCACCATGTGATCGTTGCCTCCGGCCGTGAACCACTCGTACGACATTCCACGTCGTAATTTTTGTCCGCTGATACTCGCGCTTCCTTCGTCAGGATTTGAACCACCAATGGCTTTACTGCAACAGTGAATCTCTGTATTATTTCTCTGTTTATATCATGGAGTAAATTATTCTTCACGTCCCCATTGCATTATATTATTTTAGATTTCTTCATTATGTGCAGGAGAAGGACGAGAACGTTTAGATTGATCTAAATTAGAACGAAAGACCGCTGTTCAATGAGAGTTACATGTATTCAATGCATTATATAAATGTGCATTTGTAATTTCAGGTTGTCAGTCTGTGTTGTGTCATCTAGAAAAGGCGCACGTTGCAAAGATAAATAAAGTTATATCGTTAAGCACCTTGCGCCATGCACAGTCGAGTCCCTGCGACGACGGACTTTAATTTAATCAACTTTATGCGCATCGCCACCGTTTCGAAGTTGTCCCCCAGCGAGCGAAATCGAGAGAACGGCGGCGCCGTGTTCCGCACCGGGAAAAATCCGGGAATAAGATTAAACGGTCGGGATAACGACGCAACCGGAGTGTCTAATTCCACGGCTAGCTGCGGAACGTATTCGCAAAATCATTTCGAGATCTCGTCCGGCGACGAGACTGAACGACGTTGTTTCGGAACGACTATGGCTTCGTGAACGACGAAACGGATTAAGGTACATCGCGGCTCGTCGCGTCGGAGTCTGCACGTAAGCGGTTAAAACCTCGCTCTTTGCACGACATGGCGATAAATTTTAATTATTTAATTCTCAGATTAAAAGAAAGAAAGAGCGAGAGAGAGAGAGAGAGAGAGAGAGAGAGAGAGAGAGAAAGAGTCGGGGCCGTACCCGTATTCCAAAGTAGTTTTGCGATCGTTGCGAAAGACCTCCAAAAAGACGAGTGTGCCATCTTAAAAGGCAAGTAATCGCTTTTGTCCGGCTCGTTCTCCACCGTTATATTCTCTACTGAAATACTTTTGCACCCTTGTAGAACATTCTAACCAGCCATTCTTGCCTAGCTCGATCGTAATATTTGTCCATAGTTACTCCTCCGTAATTGGCCCCTCAAGCGCTAACTCTTCTTCGTGCCTACCAGTCGTTATGACTATTTTAAGATCCACTTTGGAGCAAAGAAAGATTCGCGATTCGCCGCGTACTCCGCAATAGCGTACGGCAGTCACCGTAATCTTGATACCACCGCGATACGGAACAGCACGTTTTCTGACCGTGGTGGATGCACCCTATGTGCAAAAATGCGAGCGTGTTCCCGTTGATGGCCAATATCCGTTTCCGATTCCAATTTGCGTTAGCGGTCCATATTTCACGTGGCTGTGATTTAGAAATTTAGTCGGACGTCCACGTGTTCGAGAGCGTCGCGATTGCGCCCCGGTTTCCAACAAACACGCGAGCTATAATCTAACGAAGAGAGAGAGAGAGAGAGAGAGAGAGGGAGGAAAAAGAAAAAAAGATTGATGAATCGCAAACAAAAATATTCCGAACAATTTACTCTCGAACGAAATTATTCCCTAGCGCGCTTTTCCCTCGCGCTGAGCCCGAGTCCTCATTACATCCCACACACGGGACCGTCCTTGACCTTAATATCACGAACGCAACCGATTTGACTATGCCATGTTCACTAATGAGAGAACATAATTCTATGATTGCAAAATTACCTCGCGTCTCGCGTGCCAGCTCGCACATACACACCTTAATGGGTTCGCGCCTTGTCGCGTCATATTTCCGCGTCTGTATCTGATAGCCGTATCGATCGAGCGCGATCGAGAAACGGCGCTTTACAACGGCAACGGCAAAGGCAAAGGCAGCCCGGGCCATTCGTAATATCGCCACGCTGCTTGGTGTGTCGCGTGGTCGTCCTCGTAAATCCCGACGCGCGCTTATGCGCCGTCGCGACCAGCCACTCATACAACCCCTAATTGCCATTAGTCGGTAGCCACTTCTCTGAAATTGGTTCCTTCGTTTCTCTCCGCTCCCTCTTCCCGACAAACACATACACACACACACACACTGACACGAGCACGCGGGGCCGCGAGTACACCGACATGTACACATATACACGCAGAGCCGGGAATTTGATAGCCCTCGCCGCTCTGCTCCCGCCATATATTTGCGCCCGTAGGAGCCTTCGTTCATTCGGATAATCAAGCTTCGCGTCCGTTCATCCGACGATCAAGGATCTATTTTGTCGGCTTAATACCGCGAGGGATAATGCGCTCCATTGTGAAAGCCGCTTCGTTGCGAGCGCGCGCGCGCGCGCTCGATCGTTATTATCCGATCTGAGGTAGACGCTTCTCTTATTGACGTCTCGGGAAAAATCAGGCTTTAATTAAATCATGTCGACTGCGATTACCTCGTCGGACGGTAGCCCGGTGTTTCACGCGAGCTGAAACACATATAAGGAGGGGGGAGGGTGGGAGGAAAGGTCCGACAGCGGGACCGGAGTGCGAGTTGTATCGCTGGCAGGGGCCATCGCGTTCGATACGCCGATGGGCATCGCGTGTACGTCGATCGTGATCGCGCCTTCCTCGTTCCTAAGGAACTAGGGGGGAGAAAAGATTGTATCTATTTTTGACGTTCAATTAGAACAAAGGCACGCAACGACGGAATGCGCTGTTGCTCGGAAGAGCAGCCGGTACTGCTGATTGCCGCGGCGATACTCGCTGCGGAATCGAGCCACCTCGACATTCGTAGCCCTATCGTCGTGCGTAATTCAGCGATTGCCGACAAGTTTGATAAATTGTTCCACTCTGTCAGCCCCCTTGGACACCGCGCCGGGCGCTCGCGTGTCCGGCCGCTCTTTTTTTCTCTCTCTCTCTCTCTCTCTCTCTCTCTCTCTCTCTCTCTCTCTCTCTCTCTCTCGGTGTCTTCGCGAGCCGGCTCATTAATACGCCATCGCCGCGACGTGCTCCGCGAGCGATCGTCCCGCCGTTGAAAAATTTACAGCGACGCGCGCCCAATAAAAGTCAAACGACGTCGCCGTCTCCGTCCGCCGCCTAGATGCCCTGAAATTTTACGTCCCATATATATGCTTATCGTTAGTCGGAGAAAAAGCGCAACAAGCGCGCTGATTAAGGAGACTGGAGGGTCAGATTACCGAAAAATCGTGCTTGTTTTTCATCATGATTTTGTGACGAACCAAAATAAATGTGCAAGAATGAAAATTTTAGATATATTTATATAACATATGAAGAATAGAAAAATTTTGTTTTTAAACAAATACTCATATAAATATACGTCCATTTAAATTTTAAACGCGTTTTTCTCGAAATTTTATTGTTCAACTTTTTGCAGTGATTTATCCGAAACTGAGCTTCGTATTGATTTTAAAGCAATAATATTTGTTCATGCGGCCCTCAGGTGAACCATGGACAACTCCGTCAAAATATTTCATTTCGAGATATTAATTTTTTTATTGTAAAAGAACTGAAAATTTTGAATTTCTTCCTAATAATAGCTGTCATTTTGTTCATTTTGCGTGATTCTTTTTTCTAGTGGTTCACCGGATAATGATAAGCCTCCTCAAAATTTCCAGCTAAAATTCCCTCTGATCGGACCATCGAGAGCCGAGATATTACTGCAAAAACGATAACTTGAAAAAAAAAAGGAGAGTATATTTCAGCTATATATATCGTATATTTATACGAGTATTTGTTAATAAACACAATTTTCCTACTCTTCATATGTTGTACAACTATATCTAAAATTTTCATTTTTGCACATTTATTCAGTTCGTCACAAAATATTCACAAAAACAAGCACGATTTTTCAGCAATCTGACTTTCCAGTCCCCTTAAAGCGGACCGGTCGCACAAACTGCCGGAACTGCGTAATCCGCGCGGGCGCGCTGAGCACTCCTTGGCGAATGCGCGCGCGTACAGACAGCAGCCCCTCGTTTCATCGTTCAACCGTAATGTATATCCATCAAATTTTTTACTCGTGTATTATCGACGCGCCGTACCGCGCCGCGGCGCGGTGGCGCAGCGCGTAGGCCGGCGAGCGTCGAGGAACAAGCGCTGCCGCCGCCGCCTGTGAATTAACGCTCGCGCTGCAGCCGCTGCAGCTTAATGGTTTCACGCGTGTTTACCGTAGCGTTATCGTTTGTTCGAATAATTTCCTACGAGTCGACGCCCCCGGCACCGGCGCCGGGCACTTATCAAACTCGGCTTCGCACCTTCCCATTTATTTCCAGGTGGTTGAACAGCCACCTGCTCCGTCGAAAAGCGCGGCGCGACTCTCGGCGGCGGCGCCGCCGACCCGGGCCGAAATCAATGCCCGGGCAAAGTCGGCAACGAAAAGCACATGGCCCACGCGGCCGACGAGGAATCTCTCTCTTTCTCGCTCTTTCTCGCTCTCTCTCTCTCTCTTTCTCGCTCTCTCTCTCTCTCTCTCTTCTCTCTCTCTCTCTCTCTCTCTCTCTCTCTCTCTCTCTCTCTCTCTCTCTCTCTCTCCCCCTCTCTCTCTCTCTCTCTCTCCCCCCTTTTTCCCTCCGTCCCCCTCGATGGCCTTATCGCTATCGGGGAACTACGTCGAGATAACTCCCTGATGAATGACGATGATGTTCCACGCGCTCGCACGGCAACACGCGGAGCGGTCTCTCCGTTGGGACGGTTATTAATTATTATCAAGCGAACAGTCCCGTCGCACATGACCGCGCGTGAATAAACGCGTAGAAGCGCGTGAAAAGTGCGTGCGTACGTGCGTACGCGCTGGCGCGTGGCGGTGCATGTGCGAGTCGTTGAGCACACGACCAGATGCAAATTAGTGCAATTGCAATTGGCAAGTCTAGCGAGCCATTGGCGCCGACTTTAATTCTTAACTGACGGCGCGCTGTATGAATCGCCGAGCGCTCCGCTCCGTTTTTGCTTCACCCTCCCACGAAAAATGTATGAACAAAGCGCATTTGCATGCTGCGATACGGCGCCGCGCGCCAAACCGCGCTCCGAGAGCCTCCGTCACGCTAGTCGCGCGTCACGCATCTCGTGCTCGCTCACGTATTTTTTTTTTTTTCTTTTTCCCCTTTACGTCCGATAATTTTTCATTATCGGACCTTGTCGGAATGGCGGTA